ATTGAATTTAGATCAGTCACCATTTACCTCTAAATCTCATGAAAAGAAAAAATCAAATGAAAAATATGTGAAAGTGATGGGTCAACCCAGGACTGTGATGACCTGGGTTCCCAAATCTAAATAATTCCGCTCATCGTGTAGGGACAGTTGCAAAGGAATGTCGTCAGGCCCTGGTATGTCGACAGCGGCTGCTCCCAACACATGACTGGAGATATATCCCAATTGCACGACATTCAGACATTTAATGGGGGATATGTCTCTTTTGCGGGCGGAGAGGGCGGAAAGATAACTCCAAAGGGAACAGTTTCAAATGGAGTGCTGAATTTTGAGAATGTTAACTATGCTCCTGAATTAAAACATAGCTTGCTGAGCGTGTCCCAGATCTGTGACAAGGGCTATTCAACTCATTTCACAGATAAAGAATGTCTGATCTTAAAGTCAGGCATTGTCATTCCGGAAGAATGGATTCTTGTAAAATCAAAACGGGGTGGGAATGCCTACATCATAAACATGAACAACAATATCCCCGACGAAGTCACTTGCCTATTCTCCAAAGTCTCAGAACAAAATGCGATGTTGTGGCATCGTCGTCTCGGTTACGCTAATGCAAAGAACCTGAATCGGCATGCAAAGAACGAACTGGTCCGTGGTTTACCTATCAGAGATTTCATTACATTTGAAAAATGTGTTTCATGTGCTCAAGGAAAACATCATCGGAAACCACACCTTCCAAAGTAGATCAACTCCATTAGTCAAGTGCTCGAGCTATTACATATGGATTTATTTGGTCCGGTTAACGTTATTAGCATCAATCACAATTCATACTGCCTTGTTGTAATAGACAAGTACTCTCGGTTCACTTGGGTTTTCTTTCTGTCCATCAAAGTTGGGATCGCTGACCTCGTCAAAAGGTTCATTGTGATGATTGAGAATCAAACCAACAACCGAGTGAAAGCGTTGCGTACTGATAATGGAACAGAGTTTAAGAACGATATTCTTGACCATTTTTGCACCGAGAAAGGGATTGTGCATCAGTTCAGTTCTGTTCGCACACCACAACAAAACGGTGTTGACGAATGCAGAAATCGAACTATTAAAGATGCCGCAAGGACGATGCTTTATGACTCAAAACTTCCTGTGTTCTTTTGGGCGGAGGCAATTAACACGGCGTGCTACGTTTAGAATCACGTGCTGATTAACAAAGCCAAAATGACGACACCGTACGAAATTCTATACGGACACAAGCCATCTGTCAGGCATCTCCGAGTGTTTGTCTGCCCTTGCACCCTTCTCCACTTGGAATCTAACCCCAAATTCAATGCAAAAGTCGATGATTGTTATTTTGTTGGATATGCTGCTCGAACTGCATACAGGGTTTATAATAAGAAGACAAAACAGATTGTTGAGTCTTTCGATGTTCGTTGGCTTGAAGAGAATGAGGCAGACGCTAGAGTGGGTCCAGATTGGCTATTTGATTACACATCTCTTTTCAAATCCTTCAATGTGTTTTCGGATAATCAAGAAGGGTCTACGTCTAGTTCGACGACCATGATTGAAGACGAAGAGGAGGAAGTTGTCTAAAGACCACCACTGGTTTCTTCTGATCCTCCAATGATGCCCTCTATTCACACTGACTCTTCTGAGTCCTCTTCTTAACAACCTTCTCCTGATGCTGTTGCTACTCCTCTAACTCTGGTGGAAAGAGAGTTCATGAACCAAGAGACTTCCACTGTAACTTCAAATCTGATGGAACTTCTCTTTCCGGAAAGAATTGCTGAAGAGTTTGTAGCAGATCCAACAAATGAACCTAGTTCATCTACCGTGGATCATAAAGCAAATGACGGATCAGTCAACATCCATAATCTTCCAGTCTTTATCTATGACATCAGCTACGAGATCCTTGCACGCATTCAGCGCGACCATCCAATAGAGAACATCATTAGCTAGCTGGGCGACGGTGTTCAAACACGAAGTCAAAGTGGAAACGTTAATACGTGTCTCTACTCTTGCTTCATCTCTCAGGTAGAGCCCAAAAATGTCGAAATAGCTCTGAATGAGCCCAACTGGGTTGACGCCATGCATGACGAACTTAATCAGTTCGGGAAGCTCGGGGTTTGGAAGTTGGTGGAGCTGCCAAAAGGAAAGAAATCTCTTCATACCAGATGGGTCTTTCGGAACAAGCAAGATGACTCGGGTGTCATTATGCTTAACAAGGCATGATTAGTGGTTCGCAGGTTTCGGCAAACTGAGGGTCTTGATTATACGGAGGTTTATGCACCGGTGGCGCGCTTGGAGGCTATCCGTATCTTCCTCGCATATGCTTTCTATGTGAACTTTATTGTATACCAAATGGATGTCAAGACGGCTTTCTTGTACAGCAAGGTCAAGGAGGAGATTTATGTTGACTAACCGCCTGGTTTCAGTAACTCAAAGCTTCCCAACCATGTCTACAAGTTAGACAAAGCTTTGTATGGGCTGCATCAAGCTCCTAGAGCTTGGTATGCTACCCTAACTCAGCATTTGCTCAAATACGACTATTCTCGAGGCACCATTGATCAAACCTTATTTATCAAACATGTCGGTCCGGATCAAATTCTTGTTCAAATCTATGTGAACGACATTATATTCGGGTCGACAAGCCAACAACTTTGCAAAGAGTTCGAAGACGTGATGAAGAAGCAGTTCGAGATGAGCTCGCTTGGGGAAATGACCACGTTTTTAGGGCTTCAGGTCCAACAATCTTTAACCGGAATCCTTATTCATCAAGCAAAGTATGTGAATGATGTGTTGGAGATGTTCGGGTTCCGAGATGCGAAACCTGCTCTTAGACCCATGGCGGAGAGACCTTTACTGGCTCCTGATCTTGAAGGTGAATCCGTAGATCAAACATACTATCGATCAATGATCGGATCAGTCATGTATCTGACTGCTAGTCGCCCAGACGTAATGTTTGCGGTCTATCAATGTGCTCCCTACTAGGCTAATCCTAAACTTTCTCATCTAATTGTTATTAAACGGATTTTTCGGTACCTCAAAGGTTGCCTAAAACTGGGTCTTTGGTATTCGAAAAATCCAGAATTTGACCTTTATGTTTTTGCAGACAGCAACTATGGCGGGTGCGAGCTTGATAGAAAATCGACTTTAGGAGGATGCCAATTTCTGGGAGATAGACTGGTCTCATGGCAGTGCAAGAAGCAGCATACCGTCTCCACCTCAACAGCAGAAGCGGAGTATGTCGTTGCGTCTGCCTATTGTTCTCAAGTCATATGGATCCAACATAAGTTGTTGGACTACAGTTTAAATTTCCAAGAAACCCCTGTATGCTGTGATAATGAGGCTGCGATCCAAATTGCCAAAAATCCGGTCCAGCACTCAAAAACCAAGCACATCGACATAAAAATTCATTTCATCAGAGAATGCTATGAGTGCTCGCTCATTCGGCTAGAACAGGTCCGCTCTGATAATAATGTAGCGGGTCTGTTCACCAAGCCGTTTAACAAAGCTCGATTCGATGTGCTGGTTAATTTTCTGAAAATGATTCGCTTTGAGGATTAAAACTTTTTGTTTAGTTTACTTTAAATTTGCGCATTTTATTTTTTTCTCTTCTATGCACAAATTTAGGGGGGAGAAATAACCAAAAATCCAAAAACAATAGAAAATCAGAAAATTAAAAGAAAAAAATAAAAACAATAGAAAATCAGAACATCCAAAAAACATTAGAAAAATAGAAAAAAAAATCAATGATATGTATTGGGAAGTAATATCAACAAGTGATAACGGGCTATCTGAGTCTGTGTAAAGTACCAAAGCTAAATTGTCTAGGCTCTGTGTTCGATGTGCTGGTAGGCACGAAGGATTTAAATGGACTTGACTAGGCAAAGATAAACTTAAGAAATCAAATGACATGACAAATCTTGACCTAGATAGATCCATTTAGGCTGACAATACGACGCTTGGATAGGTTGAGCAGAGAAATATACATGAGAATCCACCAGTCACATTAAGTGAAACCGTATCTAGAACTATGGTTTAATTTTTCCTCGATGTATGGATTATATCCTTAATTCCGGTATTGACGGAGCAACTGGGGAATTCTGATAAAGTAGGTCTGTAGAAATTTTTTTTCTTTCTTTCTTATTGTTAGTCATATGTTTCCTCCTTTACGTGATTGTAAGAGATCCGACCAGGACTGCAACATATGCAAATCTATTTCTCTGCATATTATATCTATGAAATTCTTCCTATCTGTTAGCCATATGCTGTCTCCTTTGTGTGATTAATAATCCGACCTGGTACACAACATATGTAACCTTCTACTTCTCAATCCCTCTAAAAACTATAATTAATAATAATCTGAATCTATCCTCTCTATGAATAATAGTCTGCTCACCTAAAGTAAGGAGTATCTCGGAAGTTCTTGATTATTGAGTATCTTGGAAGTTCTTGATTATTGGGGTATATCAGGAAGCGGAAAACACGTTCTAGTACAATTAAAATTGAACAAATATAAATTATCTGTAGATCTCGCTGCTCAATTTAGGTGGATAACAATATCCTTGGTCGTCGTCAGATGAATGGTCCTTAGGAAGTTTTATCTAGGAACATAGGATCAACTTGTCTTGTCACTTATAGCATATCCAAAATTTGTCACAATTTTTCGTGCTTAAGTGGACCACAATATTGGCGATCGACCAGATCTATTCATGAAGGGGAAGGTACTGACAAACGGATTAAGATTGTCCAACAACTTTGATCCCACATCACAAAAGGATAAACAATTTAGAGGATTAAAATTAGAATTAATTTCTATTATTATTAGAATTTTCATTTTATTTTATTTTATTTTATTTTATTTTATTTTTTATTTTTTATTTTTATTTTTATTTTTATTTTATTTTATTTTATGTTAAAAATTTTAGGAATAATAAATTTAAAATTTTTAATCCTCAAAGTGATTTATTTTTGAAAAATGTTGGAGTATTGGGCTTAGGATTTAAATAATGAAGGGAAGCCCAAAATTTGAAAAGGTTTATAAGGGAGTGTGCGGTTCTTTTGCTGCCACTGTTTACCCACTTCAAAGACTCAACCGCACACGGCTCTTCCTTCTCTCTCTCTCTCTCTCTCTCTCTCTCTCTCTCTCTCTCTCTCTAAAAAAACCTCCAAAAATCTTCATTTTTCATAAATTGAAGCTTCATATCGGTAATAATTGCAAAAACGACTCCCATAATGCATCTTTAATGCAAAAACGATCAAAAACTTGTGTTTAATCGAAGATTTTGTTTTTCGACGTTGTGTGCGGCCGCACACACCGTGTGCGGTTGGACCGTGTGCGGCTACACAAACTTGTGTGCGGCAAGTGACGTGTGCGGCTGCACACACTTCTTGTGTAATGAATCTCGTGTGCGGCTGCACACATTCATGTGTGCGGTTGCATACATTCTCATGTGCGGTTGCACACTTCATTGTGTGTGAGCAATCATGAACAGTTTATATAAGTATGGTTAAAATTATTTTTACCCTAATGTATGCATGTGTTTCTTTTCAGATTAAAATGGGAGATGTAGAATTCACAAAAGTTCACAACTCAGCTATCTTTCTTGAAAACCCTCCAGCAGCTCACAATGATCTAAAATTCATCGTTGAAGGTCTGAAGAAATGTTGTCTGGAACATGCATTGACAACCAACCCGACAATTTATCAGAACTTGATCAAAGATTTCTGCAGAAGTGCAGTCGTGAAGAAGGATGACAAAGATGAAAAGTACCTTGAAGCCACAATACAAGGAAAGAAGATTCAAGTTTCAAAAAGGATTATTCGAGAATCACTTCAAATTGATGACAGACCATAATATTTTTATGGAAATTAATGTGCATCAAACTCAGGATGTTCTAGACCACATGGGATATGAAGGAATATTTCCTCTTACCATCAAGAAACTGCTTCCTCCCTGCTGGAAATATTTAGCTCATGTATTTGTGAGCTGTATTTCTAGTAGGAGATCTAGTGTGAACGAAATCTCTCTGGCCAATACAGGAGCCATCACTGCTTTGGCTTCAGGAATTAAATTTATTTTTTCAAAGTTTATCCTCCACGAACTGGTTTTGAATATTGAGGGAAACAAGAGAGATAAATTTTTGATGTACCCAAGATTTCTTCAGATCATTTTCAACATTATGTATCCTGATCTGCAAAGAGGAAATGAGACATTGGATCTTAAATCTATTGGTCCAAGTGCATTTGGTTTAATGAAGCAGAAAAGAGGAGGAAAGTTTGTTTTTGAAAGGAAATTTCCCTTAAAAATTTTGTAATTTTTGTTGAAAATAGTGATCAGTCAGACTCGGAAGATCAATCTATTCCTATAGAGACTAAAGACATTGTGATTTCAACTTCTAAGGCGGAAATTGAAGAGGTTCATGTTTCTCCTATAGCTGTAGTGGCTGAGGATCATGATCAACTAAATCGTGTGGAAGATGAAACACAATCTATCCATGAAGAAGATGACGAAGATCTTAATGATGATGTGGAGTTTTTGAAAGAGATAGACTTCACCGGGATTAGTGATGATATCCCTATAAACATCGAACTCGATCTTGACGATGTCGAGTTTGGTCGATTTTCGGGGCTTGACAGCGACTATTTTAGAAAGTTCAATGAAGTTGCTTCTTTAGCAACCAAGACTGGGGAAGACAGTAATGTTCTCACGATTTTGCTCTCCTCTTCCAAGCCCTTAGAGATTTCTTCAGGTCAAAGAGATGTGAATTTGGAGATTCTTCCCTCTGTTTCAACTGTCTCTACTTCTGCTCCACTTATTGTTGAACCATCTTAGCCCCAAACCTCCCAGTCTTCCTTGGAAAGAAGTCACTCAACGGTGCCCATTTTTAGCCATGCACCTCAGGTCTTTTCCACTGTTACCACTACTAGTGTTTTCACCCCACCAATACAATCTGGTGAAGGCCCTAGCACAATGTTTGAGACAGGTGGTTCATCCTATATCCCAGAATATTCTCCTACAAGACCCTTAGTGGATGATGCCTCAATCAGATTGGCTAAGCACATTGCTCAACACAGTCCAACCTCTTCCTCTCATGGCAAAGGTATATCTTTCAGAGAAGAGCATTCAGGTGATGACAAGTCTACTGTGTCAGAACTTCGAGAAGAGATTAGTGTTCTCAGGCAAGAACTAATTGAAAAGCATATTCAACTGGAACAACATGCTTCTTATATAAAAGAGCTTAAATAAAGGGATGAAGAGAAGTCAAAATAGATTAAGGATCTGCAGACGAATCTTGGCTTTGTGACTCCTTTCTACTTTAATTTGAAGAATGTTTTGTATGATGCTTTTGGGGATAAAGTTAAAGCGTTATTTCAGCAGCCACACGGAATTGAGGATCCTCCCATGGCCCCCACATAATCTACTTCAGGCGACCATCCAGTTGATCCACCTCCTCCTAGAACAACTACAGTTGTCAATAGATTTGAAAAAGAACCTGAAGACAGCAGAGCCCGCATCACAATCAAACAGGGAAAGAGGATTGTTACGGCTAACAAAAGCGAAGGGTTACTCTTCATGAAAAATTCAAACGAGAATCGCAAAGGCAAAGACCCTGTGCTAACAGTGACTGATCTCAAAAAGAGAAAATTTGGTGATGAGTTCGGTGATAGATCTGGAATTCGAATGTGGGCCTTTAATCCCGAGTCAAACATGTGGGTTATGAAAAGGAACTCAGGAATTCCTAAGTACTACAAGAGCACACATGATTTTAATTCACGGACCAAAGTGGATCTTGCTGAACTTTCGAGAGCCCCATTCCATAATCCCTCTGAAGATCCCAGAGTGAGAAACTTCAAAAAATTTCTTAATAGACAGGTCAAAGAAAACTTTCCAAAAATAAAGACTGCAAGATCTTTATATAGAAAAGATAAAGAAGTTATGGATCCTGAATCAGGCGAGCCCATGAAGATTATCCTTTGGCTTGGGACTAAACAACAGAAGGAAATTCCTATTCCTCAACACTTCCGTGAGGGATGCCTTGATAATATGGAATTTTGGGATTACAAAGATGAAAATGCCACTGCTGCAATAAAATACAAGGATAGAGAACAAGTCTTGAGGTTGATAAGTGCTAAAGATCTTCTCGAGTTCAGGGAAAGGGATATCCGCACTCTGTCTCGTCACCAGATTATATGTAGAAAGGATGTCATGGAGGTGGCTACAAAAGAGTTCACTGGAATGGTCGCCACCATCATAAATGGAAGACTGTGGATGGGCTCCATGGGAATGTCCGATTTGAAGCTGTTTAAAAAACCAACAGATTGAAGATCATGTGTATGTTAGCCTGAAACCAAGGGGGAGATTGAAAAACTATATTATTATGGTTTGGGCTAGGCATTCTTTTTGTATAGATGTTGGTAGGTTGGTAGTGCATGTAGTGTAGTGGTGCTTTGATTTAGACTTTGTGTGTGTGTGCAGCCACACACATGTGTGCGGTTACACATGTGTGTGCGGCCGCACACGCTGTGTGCGGCCGCACATGTGTGTATGGTTGCAATCATGTGTGCTGGTGTGGGTAGTATTTAAAGGGGCTGTTAGTGTGTTAGATGTACTTGATGAGCAGTGACGTATGTGTATGTACTTTCAAGGTGTACCTGACATTTATAAGCAATATATGTGTGCATGCTTGATGTTTTTTCTCTTCTACTCCTTCTACACTCTATTTGATTGTTATTACTTCACTGATTACTTATTTGGATCTATAGTTTGGGGACTAACACAATATGTTCTTGAATGGAGGAAGAGTCAGCCATTGATACATGTTGAAGAAGAAGATGAACAGTCGTGATAAAAAATCACCGTTTAGGGTTCGTGATTTCTTTGAGAGTGATAAAGGTTGAATCGACGGTTGATTTGAGTATTTATAGTGACAATTGCGTGACAATCCCCGATTTGATACCAAGAAAAGTGGGATTTGACAACTGTAGCAACTGACAGGTTGTCTTGTGACATGAGGCGGCGTGAGAATTAGAATCGTTTAAAATTCCACGTGCCTTTTATTGTAAAATCTTATCTTCAATTGTTGCGTCAGCAACTTTTGTCCCCAACGTTTCAAAGTCCTTGATTTCTTTTAAAGGTATAAGCACCTTTCTATTTTGAGAAACAAACATCAGAAAAGCATATAAAAGCGAATCCGCGAAACTAAAAAATTCCATAAGTGTCACGAACTAGAATTTTTGAAAATCATAAAGATCTTCGTGCAAGAGTGTGTTAAAGATAACAAAATAAAGCAAATTATATGAGTGAGATTAAAGTGATGTCTGTGTGGCTGAAAAGGTGGTTAAATCTCCAATCAACCAACGAACTTGACATAAGTTCGAGTGTTGGAGGAAATACTCGTGTGACCAGTGTAGTCAGTTGAACGAGTAAGTTAGGAATTATTTTAGTGAATAAGCGAAATTATGAAACCCCCAAAAACATGGATCTTATGGTTAGAAAAATCTTGGTTTTAGAACAATTCATAAAGATCAAGCCAAAAGAAAAAGAGATTTTTTGGTAAAATCCATAGATTTAAAAATATAGAACTGTCAATGATTCACCGGCAATTCATGTAAGGGTGTTGAATATTGGGTTTCACTTAGTACATGGTGAATGAAGCTATGATCATGAACTCATATGTTTCGTAACCATAAACCTTAGTGGTAGAGCTAAGAGTCTCAAGCATTACATGGTTGAGTATGAAGGCAATTGAAGAAAAGAGAAGGTAGCTCCAGAGAAGTAGATGTATCTCTGCTACGCGAATGTGACCAAGCAGATAACTCTTAACTCAAGATGAGAAGAGTAAGGTAGCTCGTGACAAATGTGAATATAACAGCCTAGTTGGGAAGAAACGAATGGTAGATTCAATTCACTAAGGCTTCACATTAAGTCTATTGAGTCTTAGGACAACATGCAGCAGCATGCTTCTAGTGACACCTAGCTAATACAAAGATATGGAAATTATACTTGCACCATAATTCATTTTAGTAGTAGAATCTGCAATGGTACTAAAAAATATTAAATAAGAAAAACAAAGAAACAAAACAAAATAAAATATTTTTGTATTTTAAATTTGAAAGAGAAAAACATAAACAAAGTAAATATTTTTGTATTTTTGAAAGCTTTAAAGAAAAATAAAACGAAACTAGCGTAATATACAAAATATACAAAGATTATACCACGGATGTTCGCTTTTAAGAAATTTGAGGCGCGAGATAGGGCAAACGTTCATCTCAATTCGTGTCCCAGAAAAATCGGAAACGAAATAGTGCGAGTGTTCATTCTATTTTGCTTGTCGAAAAAGTAAAAACGAAAGAGAAAAGGTAACCCAAAAGTGAATGGGCTACTTCGGAGGAAACAATGGTTTTGGAACTGATTCGGCTTCCATCATTCCTAGGCCTTGTAGTATTCTATGAAATGATGCTTCCGTAAAGGCTTTCATGAATATGTCAGCTAATTGGTATGTTGATTGAACGAAATGAATCTCAACGTTGACGTCCTCTACATGATCCTTGATGAAATAATACCTCAATGCTATGTGTTTCATCTTTGAGTATAGCACTGGGTTGTGACAGATGCAAATTGTGCTTTCAGAGTCACAATAGAGAGGGATTTTATTCATATTCAAGCCATAATCTCGCAATTGACTCTAAATCCATATGACCTGAGAAGTACAAGATGCAACAGCGATGTACTCAACTTTGGCTGTTGACAACGAAATGCATGTTTGCTTTTTGGACTGCCAGCTGACAAGTTTTCCATCAAGAAATTGGCATCCTCCAGTCATGCTTTTTCTGTCTAATCCTCACCCACCAAGATCAGCATCCGAAAACTCTTGAACGAAGAAGCCTGAGTTCGCAGGATACCATATGCCTAAAGATGAAGTTCGTTTTAGGTATCTAAAAATTTTCTTCACTGCCACCATGTGAGGTTCGCGAGGGTTTGCTTGTAACCTTGCACAATAACAAACGGAAAACATAATGTACGGTCTACTAGCTGTTAGATACATCAAGGAACTAATCATCTGACGATAAAGGGTCATATCTGCAGCTGGTTTTCCCAGAGATGGTGAAAGTTTTGTTCCGAATGCCATTCGAACCTTCTCTTTAGAGTCTCCTATCATGCCAAAATTAGAGAGCAAAGTTTTTGTATATGCTTCCTGATTAATGAAAATACCTTCTGGTCCCTGTCTTATATTCAATCCAAGGAAAAAGTTAATAGGACCCATTGAGCTCATCTCAAACTTAGTTTCCATCAACTTTCGGAATTCAGCTGTAAGGCTGGGATTAGTAGATCCGAAGATGATGTCATCAACATAAATTTGGACGATCATCAAGTGGTCACCCTCTTTGTTACGAAAGAAGGTTGGGTCAACCGAACCTTATTTAAACTTAGACATTTTACGGAAGCGAGTAAGAGTTTCATACCAGGCTCTCGGAGCTTGTTTCAGTCTGTAAACTGCCTTATCCAGAATGTAGCAGTGATTAGGATACTTCTCATTAACGAATCTAGGTGGTTTTTCAACACATACTATTTCTTCTAATTCCCCTTTTAGGAACATGCATTTAACATCCATCTGTAACACTTCAAAGTTCTTATGAGCTGCGTATGCTAAGATATTCAAACTGATTCCACCCTTGCAACAGGTGCGAAGGTTTCTTCATAGTCGATACCCTCTTCCTGGCAGTAACCCTTAACTACGAGTCTTGCTTTGTTTCTTATTATATTCCCTTTTTATCCAACTTATTACGAAACACCGATTTCAAGCCAACAACTGATGCTTCAGGTGGAGTAGG